GACGTCTCTTCCTGTAGATGGGGCATCTAATTAGTGCACTAGATCGCACGCGGGGGGCGAGAGTTGGGGCAGTTAGGAGTAATAGTGTGAGGAGCATACCGATGCTGCTCATACCAAGATTCCTAACCCTCCAATTTTGAGTGGATAGTCTGCCGCTTGAGCACGCTGAGGCATCCGCCAAGCACCGAGGATTTGTCCATGCTCACATACATGGAATATGAGATCTGAAGCAAGAAACGAGGGGTTTCACCAGCATGCAGATAAGTGAATAAGAATACATCACCACATACCCTGCCTTTCGAGGCGACTTGTCTGCCCGATCACATCGCACATGCTGGCCCATCATTGCAACTGGCCCGGTGTATGTAAAGAAACAGTGATGGGCTACAAGCGCAAGGCCGCCGACACAAATCTAGAATACTAGATGTGATATGACGGCAGACAACCCCCAACGACCGTTTGCCGAGAACCTCCCACACCTAATGCTGCACCGTCCGTGCACTCCGGATGCAGCACAGCAACGAGAACTCACCTCGGGCCGCACGCGGTCAGGGCTGACCATGCAAAGACCACCCCGCCTACCAAACTATGCCCCATCTCCGACACTCTCCTCTTCATCCTCCGCCTCCTGCCGTACATTGTCCCGGACACTCCCCTCGTCGCTCGACAACTGCGATCCCCTCACCAGTGACTCTGCTGACCGGTTCGCTGTCCTATGCGGCGACCGGCAGCACGAGGGACCTGTCGGAAACATTGTCAGCTGCGCGCCCGGTCATACACGTCCACAGGCGTACCTCGCAAGCCGTCCACGGTCGTCACAAGTCACAGCGCACCTTCCAGGACGCGCCCCGCAGTGAGCCAGGAAGATGAGCTGAAGCACTCATACGGTGAATAACCTGTCTCGAGAATGTGAGTAGCTGCTGACGGCTTTCATCCAACAGAGGGTCTCCCCAGTTGCCCGATGACAGGCCCGGCCACAGTTGCACCATTGTGTTCGCACGGGCCGGGGACACATTTGTCGTGAGAATTGGAGCACCCTGATGTCGAGCGGCCACCCCCCAGATGCCTCTCGAAAGGGTATGAGGCTTACTTGTGTTCTATTTGCACTCTCCGTGTAGCTAACTTCCGCCGTAGCACCTGCGCAACAGCAGACCACAGTCTTCATCTGGCAAGAGTCTCAAAGGTGCCGGATGTGTCCCTCCGCTTTACCCGCAAGAACGGGATGCACACAGAGTGGGTCGGGAGCATGCAGGGCACGCTGCGGGGGTTTGCGAGTACGGCGGCAGGGTGAGTACACATTCCAGATCCGGGTGACGGGCACTCGTTGATTATTTCACAGGACTCACGCAGGACACCCATGCCGACGGACGGCAGCCAGCTTCGAACACCGCGGACATCCCGCTCACCTCTTTGACTCCCCGCCACGAGCTTAGAGCGGCCGACGAGGAGCAATCGGCGCCATCCAGCAATACCAGCATAGTACACACCGCGACCTCCGGAGCACATTCAAACGGCGCTGCGAAGTACCTGATGCGAACGTACGCGGCCATTGCCATCTCGCGAGTGCACGGAGTCTCTGCGAGACGGTACGGGCGATGGATATGCTCGGGATGTCGCGCGGCGAACCCCTTGCGTGCGAGCAAAGTGCGCCTCGAGTCCGATTCGTTGCCTGATAATTATCGAGTGAGGACTGTCTCTCGTTCCGGATCTGGGCGCTCCCGAGCTGACTTACCAGATATACCTAGTGCATGCTCGCGCACTCGCGACTTTCGAACGGACAGGCACGCAAGGGCTCCCCACGCACGCACTCCGGCCGGCAGCAAGTCATATGAGCTCACCCGCGGAGGCGTCGCGACGTCCACCGCATCATCAGCGCTTCCATTCCGGGAGGGCGCGCGGTATGCGCAAGCGTGCATAGCTTGCGGGCGGCACAGCAAACGCGCGCAAAGGAGATGCGGTACGTACCATTTGGTCCTCTGCGGAATCCAGCACCTCATTGACTTTCCCGGCGCGACAGATGACAGAGCTCACTAGTGAGAGTTGGGGGAGTGCGCTGCCCGCTAGAGCAGTCCCAGAGCGAAAGAGGCAGGAGACGGTCGTGGCGCCGAGAGAGACGCGCGGGCGGGACTTGAGCGATTCTAGTTCTGTCGAGATAGGCGCCCGTGTCTATCTGGACGCGCCGAGCGTCCCGCCGCCGCCGAAGGCCTTGCGCTGTTCCGCGAAGCGAGTGCATCCTCATTCGTACGACGTTTGTACCGATAGCGTCGACGGGAGTATGCATATCACAACTGCGGCGTTCCCAGAGAGGGACTTGGGGCTACGGCTGGCGTCCCAGACTGCCTGAGGCGGAAGGTAAGCAACTTCTCCAGGGCACGCACACATACAGTCAACTTACCGTATTCACGCAGCACCGGCGCAGTGGAAAACTGTAGCCTCCTGCCGAGGACCCTAGACACGTCGGACGTCTCCATTCGCGCGGAGTCAGTCTCGGTCGACGGCGATGGATGCATACTTCCAGCGGAAGCTCTGCGGCGACTCTCAGGTGAGCGGTTTACCTGTTTGGAGCTCGGCACCGGTCGACTGATATTGCGGTACGCCAGCGCAGACAGGTCTAGGACGTCCCGGACGCCTCGGACCGCTTCCGCTCGCGATTTCGAGCTCCCGCAAGGTCGTCACGGCGGACGAGATCAGCTGCAATGACGGCGGCGCGAAGTCGCAAGTTTGGAGTCCCCTACCGCGCGAAATGGACGCGAACGACGCGCTGAGGGAGATGGTACGTACCGTGTCTCTATCACGGACATCCCGGCGGCTTACCTGTACGGCTGGCAGACAGCGAATTCGACGTCGGAGGGAGGAGGGACGCTGCCATGGCGTCGAGAGCAACTCCGTAGAGACGGCGGGCAGGCGATGGAAGCCGGCACTTGGTCGTGGTCAAGAGAGAAGAGCGGCGGCGCAGGACTCGAGCTCTGTTTCGAGCAGTGTCATAATAGGCGCCCGACCCATGAAATTCAGTGTCTGTGCTGCCGCCGTTCTGTCTTTCCGCGCGCGCGGCGCCGTAGTACTGTCCGTAGCACTTGCGAGGAATACCATGATTTTCACGCCCCCTCGCGAGCACAAACAGCACGAGAACGAGCCTCCGAGCCTGAATCCTTCGAGTCCCTCCCCTCCTGCTGCTCCCCAGTCCCCGTGGGCGCGTAATCAGAGCCCAGTGCGTTATAAGAGCCCAGTGCGTAATAAGAGCCCAGTGCGTAATAAGAGCCCAGTGCGTAATAAGAGCCCAGTATTCTCGCAGAGTCCGTCATTCCATCTGGGAGATCCAAGTGCGCCCCGAGATGCCCCACGCGAGATCCTCGTCCGCACCCCAGATCCACGTCCGCGCCCCCGCGCCAGCTCAATTTGTCCCCGCGCGTGCACTGCCACCGCGCGCGTCCTCTCCTCCCTCCATGGCCAGCCCGCGACAGCCACGCGCGCGACTCGCCTACGCACTTCTCAGCTGGCGGCGGAGCTACTTCGCGGCCCAGCGGGGAAACCCCTAGGAGCCACGGCAACAGCTCCTCCAGGCGCACCAAGGACGGTCGTGACGCCCGCGATGTGTACAGGGAATACCTCGACGAGCACCACCCGTCTCCCGCTCGTCGTCAACCCACTACCAAGCGCGCATTGCCTCCGCCTCAACCCATCTTTGTTCCCGACAGCGAGCTCGACAACGGCAACAACCCGCCCTCGCCGACTGCTGGTGGCCCGGTTTCACCCGGTCTCACGCCCCGTCGTAACAAGTCCATCATGCAACGAATCCGGAAGATGCGAGATTCGCCGAATGTCCCGGTAGGACAGTACGATGAGGATGACAGCCGCAGGCGCGAGGCGTCCCCCGGAGGTAAGACACACATAACAACAGCTCGGGCCCCCTTCTCGCAAGGCCAGGCCCCTGCCCGACCCTTCCATCGCTCACAAGTCTCATCCCCAGGACGCTACGGACGGTCCAATGGACAATCGTCGCCGTCGGACGAGGCCTTCGTCTACGTTGACCACATCCCCATGCGGAAGGAGAAGTCCCTACCCACTCCTCCCCCGAAAGATGGCTACACCCCGGCCGAGAACCAGAACGGGTACTTCGACTCCGAGATGGGTGCCGGCTCAGGCGCCGGTCTCGGCCGGAAGACCAGTCTCATGAAGAAGGTTCGAGGCGTGGTCAAGGGCGGTGGGCCCTCCAAGTAAAGCTGCGACGATACCACGCCAGGAATCGTTATCAATCCCCTCTCCTCTTCCACCCTCACTGTATGCTGTTGCCCAGTTCCTTGTAATCCCCTTTCGGAGCCCATTTCTCTTGCTCGCCATGTACACTAGCGTTACGTGGTCGTATTACTAGAGGGACTCTTCGCGCTGTCTCGTCCGCACGTTCGCGACTTCTGCATTCGATTATGT